TTTGACAAAATCGTCCCAGTTACAGTAGGGCTCAATGTAAAACATGCGGTTTCTTTGCTAGGTTCCATTGAGATGCTATTACGTATTCCAAATAAAGCTGCGATCTGTCATTGTCATCCAAAAAGCTAGCCTGCTTAAAGTCTTAACAGGAACCAACCCTTGGCACACAGCTATGACACAAACAATTAACCGCCACACTTTAAAACGCAGTCCGGATTGTTGGAAGAAGGCGGCACGAGTTCCCGATCTTGTCGATTTTCGCACTAGGTCACTTCCACGTGTTGCCACGCGAAGGATCATTGTCCACCACAATAAATGCCAGACTTTTCAAGCACTCCCCCCGAGGGAACATAGCCAGAAAGCGTCACCCAGCAGCAAAATTACTTGCCGGCAAGGATGCCGACCGTGCGACCACGACGGCCGGTGGTCTTGGTGTGCTGGCCGCGCACCTTGAGGCCCCACCAGTGACGCAGACCACGGTGAGCGTAGATCTTCTTGAGACGCTCGTAGTCCTCGCGCCACTTGCCCTGCAGGTTGTTGGCCACGACCTGCGAGTGCTTGCCGGTCTTGAAGTCCTTCTGTCTGTTCAGGAACCACACCGGGATCTTGAACTGCAGCGGGTTTTGGATGATGGCCACGACGCGCTCGATCTCGTCGTTGGTCAGCTCACCGGCACGCTTGGTGACGTCCACCTCGGCCTTCTTGCAGACCATGATGGAGAAACGGCGGCCCACACCCTGGATGGCGGTCAGAGCGACCCACACCTTACGGCGACCATCAATGTTGGTGTTAAGAATACGCAGAATGTGCTGGAAGTCCGGCCCGATGACAAGCGACTGAGTGGCAGCAATGAAAAAAGGTTAGCAACTTGGTTCATTTATGCTGCAAACTCGTACTGCCAGAGCTGCCAAATTGAGACAGCGAGGGAGAAGCACGAGTCGCATTGGCTTTGAAGGCATCCATTTGGTACTCGCGACTGCATCACTAGATATCCGAGGAGTTCCTGTTACTGCGCTGTTGGTTGTTCGATCCCTGCAGTTGCTAGCTCGCTTGCCCTCCCCCCTTGCTGTACTCATTGGTCTCTCCCTAATATAGGCATGGAGCAGGCCACTCACCATGGTTAACGAATGCTTTTGCTTCTGGCAGTGGGAACAACGCTGGGTGTGGCTGGTTGGCTCAAAACTCCTGGTCTCTTGAATCCATTATGGTCATGCAAATGACTGGCAGTCGGGACTCGGCGTCACGCACAGCCAGTAAAAAAACTCCTTTTGCTTTAAGCCAATCAGCGGTAAATACTTTCTCATTTTAACCCTATCAGACGAAATCAGCAATACTCTAAAGCTGTACCCATTCTATTACACAGGATATGATGTATGATAGTACTCCAGTACCGTACCGCTCTGAATACAAGGACAAACAGAGCTCTCTTTTCGAAGCATCACTAAGATCCCCCCTTAGCTCTTTTAGCCCAAAGATTTCAGAGAGAGAATGAGCGACTTCCGCCGCACGCAGAACACCTTCGGGGACGCCTTCCCTACCGCAGATCAGCTACATGGTGGCTTCAACTTCGACAACTGCCGCCGCAATGAGCTCTTGTTCAGCCAGTCGGGCGGTAAGCAGAAGCTGAAGGCCACTAAGACAGGCACTACCATCGTCGGCGTCGTCTACAAGGCAAGGCTGTGGCAAGCGCAATGGTTATGATTGTTCTCGAATGATATATGCTTACTAATTGCCATTGGTATAATGCAGGACGGTGTGGTGCTGGGCGCCGACACGCGCTCGACGGGCGGCTCCATCGTGATGGACAAGAACTGCGAGAAGATCCACTACATCGCGCCCAATATCTACTGCTGTGGCGCTGGCACAGCTGCCGATACGGAAAACACCACAGCTCTTATTTCATCGCAGTTGGAGCTGCACCGCCTGGTTCGTCGGACTCGTTGGAGTGATAATTGCTGCAATTTTTTCTGACAAGTGTTTTGTCGATTGCAGAACACGGACACGCAGTCGCGCGTGGTGACGGCAATGACGCTACTGAAGCGGATGTTGTTCCAGTACCAGGGTCATGTCTCGGCTGCACTAGTGCTTGGTGGTGTGGACATTACGGGCCCGCACCTCTACACCATTTACCCTCACGGAAGGTGCGCGCACAGTCTCGGTGCATGTGGAGCTTCTAAAAAAGTGATGACTAAACTGAATTTTACTAATGAAATTTAACAGCACGGACAAGCTTCCGTTTGTGACGATGGGGTCGGGTAGTCTGGCCGCCATGTCGGTGTTCGAGCACGGCTACAAGGACGACATGACTGTATGATGTTGAGAAGGACGCGGGTAGTTTTGTGCAATGTCTGACATGATTTCATTCTGAGTTTCCAGGAGGACGATGCTAAGAAACTGGTGCAGGAAGCAATTCTGGCTGGTATTTTCAATGATCTGGGCTCTGGCAGCAACGTGGACGTGACGACAATCAAGAAGGTCAACGGCAAGGTGGAAGTGGTCAAGGAGTTTAACTGTATCAAGCCCAACGAGGTGTCGGAGCTGCGGTCGCAGATTAACCGGGACATCGTCACGCACATCCCGCGCGGAGCTACTCGTACGTTCAATTGCATGCACTTAACACCAGTTATGTTTACTAATTCCTGGGTGTGTTGTGCTACTTGCAGATGTTCTAAGCTCCAAGACTGAGCTGTTCCCTGCCAGCATTGTCGTCGAGGAGGCCACGCCCATGGAACTGTAGACGCAGGTTGTTGGCTTACTGGCATTCTGACGCGATACGTGACCTGAAATGGCTAAATTGCGAAAGAAAATGCACCTTTGAAAACGAATATCTGCGTTGCAAATTCATCCCTATAGTGGACCGCACTTTAGTCCTTGTGCACTGGCATGACCATATCCGCTGTCAACTGCAGTTTCTCTACAATATCTGTGGGGATAGCAAACGTCGGATGAATCTGTCGGATGCCTTGATACTCGGGGTGGTTCTGCTTTTCACGGTCAAAGTAGCCGAGCATGCACAATCCAGCGATACCGAAAAACGTGTGGAACACATCAGCCACATTTCCAGGGCGGTCAGCGATCCCTCCGTCCTCGGGGTCTTGACAGGCCAGAATGAACTGGATGAGCTTCTCCTTGCTGATCCAGTCGAGTTTGCCGATCATAATGAGAGACGAGATGTTCCACCAGCTGTAGCACACGTCGGCCTGCTTCTCGGGTCGGCCATTCAGTCCTCCAGAGTCACACTGGCGCTCACACAGCCACCAGCCTAGTAGTTCGTCATCCACATACTGCTCCAAAGCGAAGCCCAGAGACAGAGCACCCACAGCCGTGAAGATGTGACCGCCGTGCGACTCGCAACCTGGGATGTTGCCAAAGCCGCCGTCAAAGTTGCGGCATGTATCAATGTAGGCCATGGCACTCTCCACGTCGATGAGCTCCAGTTTGTCCAGGATCTTGAGCGCGGAGAGTGCGCAATACGTGAATTTAGAGTCAATTTCCTTCCATTCGTCACCGGCGAAGGAGCCGTCGGGTTGTTGCAACGACGCCACGTACTTGGCACATTCGTCACGCTCGATGCGATCCAAAGCGCCCAGCATCGCCAGAATCAGCAGTGCGTGGACTGTGTAGAGAAGGTGGCGATCATGGCCAACGTTGCCGGAAAATCCTCCATCGGGGTGCTCGCATTGCATCACCCACTCCACGATCTCAGATGGATCCATCTCTTCCTCACGGTTTAGCAGCGCCATGGCCCCCACGCCCCAGTACAGTCCACTCACGCGCATGTGCTCCGTCATACAGGACTCAAAGTCCTCCTTTTTGTTCTTGAGCCCCACAAGGTACTTGACATGCAGCGCCAGGTCGAACGCCGGCGGCTGCGACTTGCACTCGTCGTCAGTACTCATGATCGATACAGACGAATTAAACTTCGATCAGCAACAACCTCCATTGTCTGATAGAACTCCATGAATAGATACAAGTTTGCTCCAAAGTCGTGTGGGCCACTTGACAAAGACTTCAACTTCATCCAACTGTATACTTACTCTCGGACTGCTGTTGTCTATCTCTTACGACCACTAGATTTGGACGGCGGGGCGAGCGACATCATGTCGTATCGATCGTCTACCATGCTGTGCAGGAGCACATATCGCTCACGCCCTACACCGCGAGAGTTCGATGTCGGAGTGAGGGATAACACCTCTTCCATGGTATACTTGAGCTGCTTCCGATACCTTGGATTATTAGCACATACAGTGTCGATACCGCTGTGTCCTCCTTCCATCAGTGCCGACGACATCTCGCGTACCAATACAAAGGGCAAGTCAACCGACAAAACCTTCATGGCTTCCTCCCCTCGCGACGAGAAGCTGGACGAGATCCACTTGGAGACTCGGCGCTGAACCTTCTGCGTATCAAGCTGATAGTTGCGGTAGTTTCTATCTCGTGATTGGTATTTGGCATCGACCACCCGAACGTCGAAGATTGGCTGCAGCGTATTTCCATTCGACGAGGAATTGCCTCCGCCACCGCTGTTATTGCTGCTCATGTTGTCTCCAAAATGGCTATTTCCACGTCCACCACCGTTCGCAGTATCGCCATGTGAACTCTTGCCAAAGTTCTCCAGTAATTCACTGATACATTCCGGTAACGACGCCACATTCGTAACCACGTCAGCTTCAGAATGGCTTTTCACTGCACGAATCTTCACTTGCTGCTTATCTCGAATCATATGCTTCTGGACAATCACCATCCAGTGTACATTTTGCTGAGCGCAGTAGTCTTCCAAGTCTTCCAAGTGCAGCGGCTCTGGGTGAAGATAATCTGCGCCAATGCCCTGTCCCCACAAGAGCATGGCAATCTGCATTCGGAACAGCATCGTATCGGACGCCTTACCAGCTGAGCAGATCAAGACCTTGCGGCCACCCGTCAATACTTCCGAAGCTGGTGATTTTAACTCCAACAGCGTTGAGCCCATGGACTCTGCCAGTAACGAAACAATCTTATCAATAGCAAAGCGCACCCCCATGGCAGCAACCGCAGAAGATTTTGCGTAAGCAGTCGTCAGTTGGAAACGTGAAACCAGAGCGTCGTAGCGTCCACCCTCGGCAATGATGATCTGGTTATCTGTCGCTGCCACTAATAACGATGCAATTTTGCCGCCATTATTACCACCATTTGTGGACTCTTCAAGTAGAATAGCCTGGAAGATGAAGCCTGACGAATACCGTTCAGGACGCGGACTCAGCCCCAAGTCTAATCGTGTACAAACTGGACCAGACAGCTGGAGGAACTGCATACCTTGCAGCAATAAGCGCAACGACGTGATACCTTCTATCACGTCCTTCACAACACGTCGTAGCTGGGCATCTCGCTTTTGTATCTGCTTTCGGTCTGCAGCATCGCCATCCGTGGTCGAGTCACGCGTTGTTAGAGCTCGATTCTTTGCAAACAGTTTCTGCACTTCCAACTCGATCATATCCAGCGACGTCAGACAGTCTTCTGGCAGGAGAAAAAAAGGTTTCAGTGCCTCGATAACGCTTGGTGGCGCGCCGTAGTGCTTCAAGCGCTTTGCAACAAACTTCCATCGACTCGGTTTCAAGCTAGGAGCTTGCGTAGATGGAGGACGAGCGTGCACGTAGAACGACACTTCGTTTGACAGCAGACGTAGCACTTCGCGACGTGCACTGCTTGGAACGCGACACAGATCGAGAATACCGCGCGTCACTCGAGCGTCATTAAATCGCAGATAATAAGATCCTAGGTGACTGGGCAACGCTCTGATCACGCCCGACACGACTTCCAATCCCTCCAGCTCCAAGAAACGGAACGAACCTCCATCATCCCAAATAATGTCGAAGTCAGACTCGTTAAACTCTCGTGGATGGCCGCCACCAACGCTCTTCCGATAGACTCGGTCGAATTGGAAACATTTCAGCCGTAAAACGTTGTGTCGTGCGACGAAGCGAGCAAGTCTCTCAGTCAAATCAAACGGCAGCGACACCGACACGCCATTTCCATCTAACATCATGGATGCGTTCGGTGGAGCGTTAAGAGTGATGCCGTTAAAGGTCTGCTCCGAAAGTCGAGGCATCAGCAGTGGCGTCGACATTTCGACAGCTCCATGACGCTCAAACACTTTCTGTAACAAGAGACGACAAGTTTATGGTCAGACTGAACCCCACATTGCATCCATGCGGAACGACATTAACGAACCTGTAGCACATTCCTGACATAGGTTTTGGTGCGCAACTGGGCCTCGTAGCTGCGCATTTTGACCGATTCCAAGTGGTCGTACGTGTAGTCGACGTGGTTGAGAGGTTCCTGTGAGACCAGCGCATCAATAAGCTGTCCGAAAAACTTGCCTTGCGGATTCGCGAGTGTATCTAGAGCCTCACGAAGATAAGATCCTTCGACCTCCATCTTGGCAGGCAACAAGGAGCTTGCCAGCAGCTCCTTTGCATTTGGTCTCTTGGATGGATCACGTTCACAAAGCCACAGGATAATCTTCTTTACATCATCCGAGGCCGTGAAAGCTTCCGGAAGCTCGTGTCTTTCTCTCAGACCGGTAAGTGCTTGTGCACGCTCCATCAACGTCGTAAATGGCGGCGACCACATTTCAAAGAACAAAATTCCAAGAGAGAACAAGTCTGCCTTCTGGTTGTATCGCTGACCTTCTCGTTCCTGCTCTGGCGCTCGATAGAATGCAGTACCGACTCCAGCAGTAATGTTCCCGTCACCCACATCCGCCGACATCGTCGTCATGAGATTGCTATTCTGAACGCTTGATCGACCGACAACTCGCGTACTCTCCAAGTTCTCGAGCTTCAAGCGTCCATACAGCTCAGCAGCTGAAGAACCAGTTGACTCGGATAAAATAGCGCCAGTCGCAGTCTCCCCGGGTGGCGAGGAGTCGTCGTTGCTGCTGTCATCTTCCAACACCTTGGGAGGCCGAACAGCTAGACCGAAATCTCCTAGCTTGACTGTTCCCTTCGAATCAAGAAAGACATTGGGCGGTTTGATGTCGCGGTGGATGATGCCCTGCCGATGGATATACACGAGCGCCTCCAGAATTTGACGAAACATCGTCCAGATCTTGTCCGGGTCTTTCCACAGTGCACCCTTGTCGATCACCTCTCTGAGAGCATTACCTTCACAATATTCCATCTGGATGTACAACTTTTCAAACTTCCGCTTCTTCTCGGGCACGGGGCTTCTGTGTGGTAATACCTTTTGATGATATCCGTCGTCTTCATCTTCGCTGGAGTCATCAACTACTTCCATTGGAGCTTCTTCCAGCGTTTCCCACTCGAATCCATCGTCTGGATAGCTCTCGGACGCTAAATGATGCGAAGAAAAATGGAATGAATGGCTATTACTGCGGAGACTGCGACTGTCATGGCGAGACGTCGACCACAGTCCTGTACTGCTGCCCATCGTACCCTACCAGTCGTCTTCATCTTCGTCTGTAGAGGTCATCGGCCCCAATCCATCGGACGACAGACTTGCTTCTCCATACAAATCTTCTTTCAGGCTTACCACCGCGTCACTGAGCTCACTCTCTTGATCACTTAAATCACTGTCCTCTTCTTCGTCGTCACTGGACATTCCACTTTCGCCTTCAATCCAGGCCTGGAAGTACCGAACGATATGTCGGTGTTGCATTCGCGAGATAGTCTTCACCTCACGCAAGATCTTCTTCTTCATCGTCTTATCATCCGGATCCAATTTTACTTTTTTGACAGCATAGAGTTGTCGATCCAGGCGATTCTGCACTTTGACCACTTCGCCTCCCCCTCCGCGTCCCAGCAGTCCAAGCTCCTTGAAGTCTCCATGATACCTCGAATGGTATCGTTCCGCAGCTGCTGCAGCATCCAAATCGGACGTATCCGAGTCTGAATCCGATGGACTTGACGAACTGGCGTCATCCTTCTTCGAGCTCGCTTCCGTTTGCTGTTCGTAGATACTCGACATGCTCTCCAGGTCGTCTCGACTCTCTCCGTCGCTTCCGTCGTACTCTCCATCAATGCTAGATCGGTGTCGTCTCCTCCTCCGTCTTGTCTTCTTAATGGTCTCTCTCTTCTTCCTCTCGGCGTCGATCAGAGCCAGAATTTCCTCGCTTTTGGCTCTGGCGTGCTCCTCCTGCTGCTGTATCAGAGCGTCCTCGGCCATCTTCTCCTTAGTTTCTTTGTCTTGTTGACGCGTCATCATTTGATCAAAGAACGACGACTGGTCCTTGAGGTGGTCCTGGATGAAGTCTGTGGCGAACACCACGAGGTCGTAAACCGCGGCATCTCCGACCTTTTCAAGCGCAAGTGTCTCCATTCCACGCTGTAATTTCTGCGTCTCAGTATCCGACAGTCCGTGCTTAGCTTCCACAGTTATATTAGGCGGCTGTTTGAGCGGGTAGGCCCTTGTGAAGTCGAAGTGCAGCAACACCTCGGCTGTAGTGGCGGAGCCTGGAGCTGCCTCACACAGCAACCGGATAGCGAAGATATACGAGTACAGCGGCGTCGAGCTCTGCGCTACTAAGTCACAGTCGTATATAGCCTGCAGTACTTCCAGCTCTTGGGCCTGAAGATCGCGTGCTTCGGCTAAAGTGGCGGCATCATACGTGGCAGGTGAGTCTTGGGTCGCGGCGTGGGCGTCTACGCAACAAATGGACAAATTTGAGCGGGAAATTACGTCGGTGGATGAGAACGACTCATTCAGAGTAGCGCACCTCTCTTTTTTCCCTTCTTTCGGGTCATGGACCGAGCCCGAACAACGTGAAGACGAAGGACGCAATGCGGCAGGAAGACTAAGTGATGAAATGTACTCATGGCGATGTATACAATCGTACTTAGTGGTATTGGAGAGCCTGTATACATGCTGTGAGTACAGTTTTTTTTACCTTCATAAACGAATATGAATGCTGGTAAACGAGAAGACAAGTCTGTTGGTGCATCGATGGAGGAGGCCATCGTGCGCATCAACGAGCTGAAGCCTAAGTATGTATTCCTGACAGCGAAGAGCGGCACTGGGAAAACGTACTTGTCAAGTCGATTAATAGGTTATGAAGTACTGGAGCTGGATGAAGTGGTGAAGAGTACTGGGAATCAGGGAACCCGAAAAAATAATATGCGTAAAAATTAATCCCAATTTTTTAATTTAATTATTACTTTATGGCTGCCAGCAACGAGAACAACCCCAATTTTGAGTAAGGTCTAGTCACAGCGTGGGGACGCGCTGAACGTCGCGGAAAAATTAGCCTGCGCTGAATTTAGGTCGCCTGATCTCGAACGGTCGTCTTCAAGAGCCGCCGAAGAGCGTTCTATTGTGAGAGCGGCGTTCAAGAAACGCAATTGCGCACTACGTCGACGTCGCGTACATCCCGCCAACGTCTAACGAGTGTGAGCGCTTCTTCTCTCTCGCTTAGCTGGTGTTGTCTGATCTACGGAAGCGAATGTCTCCAGCCAGGCTCGAGATGATAATGTTTCTGAACTACAATCGTGACTTACGAAGTTTTGCAAATAATTGAATTATTAATTTTCTCAGCTCACATCGATGTATTAATCTAAGTATTGCATTTTCGGGTTCCCTTCCGCGTTCAAGATTTACAAAAATGCTCTACCTGCTCCTGTCATGGACGCATTTGTGACGAATGTTCATTCCTTCTTTCGACAATATCCTAATACCCCAATTGTGGTCGAAGGAGCGATTGCTGACGCTGCACTGATCAAGAGAATTTTTGCTGGTCCTTACGCAGAGTTTGTGTTGGTGTACTTGTACCCGGTCGACGTGGAGGCGTACGCGTCGCGGATGCTGAAGCGCTTCAAGCACGAGAAGGAGAATGGCATCCGTAGTCTGTCAATTTGGCCAGAGGTGACTCCGCAGGTTGAAGAGGCTGCGTACGATTCCATCGAGCTGAATCAATTTATGCAACGAATGGCTCGTCAATCGATGACCAGGTCAGCTCAGCGTTACGGCTATTTCGAAGAAAATGGACTAGACATGGTTCGGGTAGATGTATAAGAATGAACCGTTCGTTTGCCAGCTTACATTCGTCGAGGAGCGGTATCAAAGCTGAAGGACCAAAGATTGCAGTACACTACCCGTCCTTGATTGCGAACGTGGCTTGTTCGTAAGCATTAGCTCGCCGCTCGCTTGTTTATGATGAAAAGCGAAAGCTGCAGGGAAGTCGAAAATTGCGTGATACATGTACAGGTAATTGTACTGCTACATGTACAGGTAGACGACCGTCACTCACGTCGCTCATTAAATGATGCTGGTCCAGCAAACAGTACTTGGGTTCATAAGTAACATTTTGTTTGACGCAGTCTCACCAGCAAAATTGCAGCACAAATTTTGTGCTGCAATTGGTGAAACTTGCCCTCAAAGCAAATCGCAGCATGATCGCCTGACGTTCATTTCTCTGCAATTGCGACCTTGAGTCAGGTGAGATCACTTTGGAATTTGGTGCCTCTTGCACACCAAGCAGCACTCTCACTCCCAGCACTACTATTATATCCATGGCTGCCAAGATCCGTGTCGGTCTCGTGGGCTTCGGTACAGGCTCCAGCGTGTTTCACGCGCCGCTGCTCATGAGCTCGGGCCAGTTCGAGCTCACACACGTGTTGGAGCGCTCGACTAGCAAGAGCCAGGTGCTGTCACCCGCACCTAAGACCGTGCGCTCCATGGAGGAGCTACTGGCCACGGACGTGCAGCTCGTAGTGATCTCCACGCCCACGACCGTGCACTTCGAGCAGGCTAAACAGGCCATGGAAGCCAAGCGCCACGTGGTGGTGGACAAGCCGCTGTGCGTCACGGCACAGCAAGCCGATGACCTGTGCGGTATCGCCAAGGCTAACGGCGTGCTTTTTTCGATTTTCCACAACCGCCGCTTCGACAGCGACTTCCTCACTCTACGAGGCTTGATCGAGGACGGTACGCTCGGAGAAGTGCAAAAGTTCGAGGCCCACTACGACCGCTACCGTCCCAGCATGAAAGGCTACTGGAAGGAGAAGGCTGGTCTCTGTGGAGGCGTGCTTTACGATCTGGGCGCTCACGTGACGGACCAAGCGCTGCAGCTCTTTGGTGAGCCCGATTCGGTCGTGTCCGACGTGCAGATCCAGCGTGAAGGAGCCGAGAACGACGACTACTTCCGTCTCGAGTTCAAATACAACAAGTTTTCGAAACGGGAGGTGATCCTGACCGCCGGGATGCTCGTCAAGAACCCAGGCCCTAAGTACACTGTTGTGGGCACCAAGGGAACATTTGTGAAGTACGGCGAGGACGGACAGGAGGACGCCCTGCGTGCTGAAAAGCGTCCTGACGATGAAGGCTGGGGCCAGGAGCCTCAAAGCACCTACGGCAAGTTCACGGACGCTGCTACGGGCGAGACTCGCGTCGTTCCTAGCAAACTCGGCTCGTATGAAGTGTACTACAAGAACATTGCAGCTGCTATCCGTGGAGAGGAGAAGCTGCTGGTGAACCCGGAGGAGGTGATTCCGCAGATTCGCATCATCGAAGAAGCCAAGAAGACCGAGCGCGTGAACCGCATTACTGTGTAAATGCTGATTTATTGTGTTACCGGTAATCGATCTGGGGCTGCTAGTTTTCAGAGAAGTGCTTATCTATGTACTTCACTTCTTTAGTGAAGAAGGGAAATAAGGACATTCAAAATTTGAATGTCCCGATAATATCATTGCAATAATATTATCACAGCCCTTAGAAATAAGATACTGTGCTTCTGAAATCAACAGCGAAAATAAATAATTGCAGCCAAAATAAGCCTTCCATTTAAAAACCGAAAAACAAAATTGGAAAGACCATGGGAAAATAAGTTATTGAAAGTGATATCTGGCATCTCAAAAATAAATAATTTATTGTTTAATATTGTATTGAAATTCCAATACAATGATTATTTCGCAACACCTGATTCAAATGATAGTACCGGTACCTCTCTCAGCTGCAAAATTTCAGCTTGCAGTGCTGCGTTTGCTTCCAGACCCTCCTCTAGCGCTTGAGAAACTTCACAAGAGCAAATTCCGCCGTCATTTCCGAATTGATTCTCGTTCAAATTCCTTAAATCACGGTAATGTTATGCTGGGCTGCAGCTGCAGGTACATGACACAACGTACTACGTACGTACTTCGTAGTAAGACGTGACATACATTGCCGTAGTGAAGTCTTTACTGGTCACTGCAGCTTCGGGAATCACTACATGTACCGGATTGGGGAAACGTGCTTCGATCGGATAGTTTTGGGATTCATTAATTAATAAGACTCGGTGCTCGAGCTCTTCAATTTCGATATTGTTGTCCCCATCGTCACATATCAATAGCTGTGGGCCGCGCACGCTGGCCAGCTCATATGATGCCGCTACTACAAGTGGTAACTGACAACCACGTTCCTAAGGGAAAAAAGAGCTGTGGGCCTGATGAATGCAAGCAATACCAAGCAGCATTGATATATGGCCCTGCAATACTCTTGACTTCCATCATTCCACTGACAGCCCGTCGGATCTGTGCGGCCGATTGAGTTCTGCACCTTCGACATCTCCGTCGTCTACCAGATCCAATCCACATTACTTCATCCACACTAAAGTCGAAACTGTCGAGCCATTCGTACGTATGGATTGGTGGTACCACATCACCAACGGACGCGTGGGAGGTTTCTTCGCTGGCTCAGTCGCGAAACTACCAGCAACGGGAAGGACAGTGGGCAAGAAGAAGCGGCTTGTAGACCAGCGATGGAGCGCTCGTTGTCGCGTTCCGGCGCGCGGATGCGCTCGTCGCGCGTCGTGGATAACCAGGATGTGTCGCCCTTCTCAGTCTCGAAGAGCTCGTCATCGTCACCTGAAGATCGCGGTCGTGACATTCTGCTGGGTCTATTAAGACAGATCACTGAGTTTCTTGAACGCAAGGAGATGATGAGCACTCGAGTAGCAGCGTCCAAGGAGTGGAGGAAGAGCCGCAGTCGACGACGCTCTGAAAGCAGCAACAACCTGTTCGAAGTGGTCATTCAGGTCTGCGAGCAGCGGATGCGACGACTCAAACGATCGGTAGGATGGCAATTAGAAAAAGAGACGCAGGAAGAGGGCTAATGGTGTTCTTGGACTTCTGTATGGGTAGACTTCGGGAGATTATGGAGGACGAGAAGAGGAAGAGTGGAGCGCCCAATCCCCACGATTGTTGGTGGCTGAAGCGATCGTACAGGAACTTCTCGTGAGTTTAATGGAGCTGCGGATGAAGGAGAAGGAGAGAATGGTGATGGATGAAGTGGAAAGTGTCGAGATCATGCGTCAACTGCACGTGCATCTGCAGAAAGACGAGGAACTAGTACGTGGGTTGTTACTTATTTTCCTGCCTGGGTTGTTGTTTCCGACTAACCTCTTGGGCTGACAGGTTCGCAGTAAAGTTTGTATCGGCGCAGGCGATGAACAGCAATTGGAGGAACTTCAGCTGATGCTAAGGACGGATTTCTTAGAGGAAGTGGCGGGTGTCGAGAGTCCGCAGAAGAAACAGCAGGCAGACTCGGCAGCTAACAATGAGGCATCGCTACAGTTTGCGTGGGAGACAATTGATGACCAGAAGAAGGAGATCATTCGACTACGAGCAGAAAACGAGAGACTCAAGCGCTTGGAAAGCAGCTCCGACGCAAGTTCTGCGTCGTTTTTCGACGACGAACCAGCCAAAGTGATCGGTCTACTGCGCTCACAGCTGTCCTCTCACCACGACAAGAACTTGGATATTCTTCACGACCACATCCAGAAACTGGAGAAGGCGTTAGAGAACTCGACAGCTTCATCTCGAAAGGCGAGACGAGGCTGGGATGGCTCCAAGTCGACGTTTGAGTCCACTCGTAGCCATGACAAGGACGACTGGTCCTCGTCTTTGCTGTCTCGCAGCACCGTCGGCACAGACTTTTCACGGACGACAAGTTTCCCGCAGAAAATGCGAAAGAAGATGATCGTAATAACTCCGCGTCGCTTCTTGCGCTCCGATCGGAAGTGAAGCAGCTACGCGCACACGCCGCAACAGACGAAGAATCGCTGCTTCAAGCTGAAAAAGACCGGGGCCATCTGCAGCGAGAGAACTCTGCACTCTCGTCTGCGCTCCTATCAGCGAAGCAGAAGCAGGAAGAACTGCGTCAGATGATTCTAGATCTGACGCAGGAAAAGCACCAGCTCCAGAATTTAGGCGACGCGGAACAAAGAACTTGTGAACGCAGTATTCGCGTGCTGAAAGAGCAGCTGGACGCGTTAGAAGAGCAGAAAGCGCATTTGAAGCGGAAATTCGACGACCTTGTCGGAAAATATGACGCTGAAGCCAGCGAGAAGCGAGCATTTGCAATGAAGTACACAGATCTAAATGACACGCACACTAATCTGACCCAGTCGACTGCTGAGCTGGAGAAACAAGTGGCGAGTTTACATGAGACTGCTCGACGTTGCGAGACGATGGTGGGAGACCGAGATACAGCGCTAAAGGACTTGCAAGACCAACTTAGCGTGAAGGAGCAGGATGGAGCAGCACAAATCACCGAGCTACAGGAGAAGGAAACTCAAATTACCGATTTGAAGATCCAGTTATCTGAATTACAGCGCAGTTACGGCGGTCTCGAGGTGGAGAAGCGCCGATCAGCTGGAGAAATCGAGAGGCTTTTACAAACGCTCGACGAGTGTAAGAGGAAGAATCAGCGTCTTGAAAAGGGCTTTGAGGAGCTAAAACAGGGAAAGGAATTTCTCGCAAGTCTGCAAAAAGTGGAGAGAGGAGCGTCAGCACTACAACTGAGTGAGTTACAACAGACTCGGGAGAGGGTTGAAGCGTTAAAACTGCAGCTATCAGCGGCTAAATCTGAGCACTCTCAGCTGGAGCAAGCCTTGTCGGGGGCTAATGAGGCGAAGAACATAGGCGAAACTCAGCATAACGCAGAGATGGAGCGAACGCAGCGCGAACTAGACACTGTGAGACAGCAATGCTTATCGCTTGAACAGGAGCTGAAGAACGAGAAAGCAGCTCTAGAGAATGCGCAGCGAGAGAGCTGCGAGCGGGTCGAGGATTTGTCCCAAGAGCTGGCAGAATCCAAGACAACGATGCTCATGTGGATGAACAAGTACAACACGCTAAGTGAAGACAAGCAGGCGTTGGAGCACGACGTCCAGAGTCTGTCCGAAGAGCAGTACAGTCTGCAGCGATCGGTCGAGGAACTCCAAGCTGATAGTGAAGCACAGACTCATGATAGAATCGAGAATGAAGCGGCTCTCAAGGGAGAGATATCGTCTTTAACTGAGCAGCATCGCACGATGGAACGAGAGAAGAAGGCGCTAGTCAAACTGGTCCAAACACTGCAAGCACGTCCGGAGTTGCAGCAGCGAGCGTTCCGTGAAATGCTAATGGCATGTCAACGAGGAACAGAGCGCTCCTTCTGTCAGCTTTCAGAACGGGTTAACGTCGCGTTGAAGAAGTTGAGCTCAGTGGAGAAACGATATCAGACACTGCGATCGCACTTAGCTGCCCGCAAAGTGGCGAGGGAGGACGACTCGGCGTCGGATGAAGGCGAATGTCGGGTCGCTCCGAAGCCAGCGTCACCACAAATTGTCGTACAAGATGAAGACTTTCTAAGTAGCAGTACTTCCGCCTTTGCAATGTCGACTTCACAGCCAGAATGGCTAGAAGCTATCGCAAGAAACGGTACTCAAGCAGCAGAGACAATAGATGCTCTGGAGATGGACTTGAGGCACTGGAAGTGGAAGTTCTTCGTGCAGTGCTTGGTGGCTAACTCAACCAAACAAGCGAATAACGACCTTACAGCTCAATTGAGGGAGTCGTTCAACACTGTCGACCACCTCAAGAAGTCCACTCGTCTCCTCGCTTGGCACAAGTTGAAAATTAAATTGGAGAATCAACAACTCCACAAATTGCAATATCTCAGCGTTGTATTAGCTCGACAACAGTCAAAGAAACTGCTGCTAAGTCAACAGACTCAATATTTCGACAACTGGAAACATCGAGCTCGAGTACAGAAGTACCGAGCAGAGCTAAACGCCAGTGCGAATGGCCCTCTGCGGCCCTCGTTTTCACCCACTACGACAATGGCTTTGGCTAACTGCATCCAACTAGTGCGTAAGTTCTGCGAACCTGCACGAAAGAATGACAAAGGGGGAGCTACCGAGCGAGCAAAGTCCTCGCAGACTCGTGGAGCTGACGAGTTAACGGACTATTTGGTCGAAATTAACACGAAAGTGGCCAGCTGGAAAGTGGCGGTGGATCGTAAAATCGCAGAGTACACTGAACGGAACAAGCAACTTAAGTCCGTTCAGCGGAGGTGTGCTGAGCTTAAGGACCTGGTGGGCTTGAACCAGCGCCTCATCGAGGAAATGGAGCGCCGCTCTGCCGGTCAACAAAGCGTTGTGGAAGCCGCCTGGGATTTCGCCACGGCGTATAAAGCTCTGTCGCCTTCTGCGAGAGCTCAGGTGTTCCAGTCGCGCGACTTCCTCTCAGCCTCCAAGGGGATCGTAGAGGGTCTTAACTCGCTGGGACTACCTCGCTCAGTGAATAAACTCAGCCAGACTCTCGGCTCCAATTCCGTTCGCAAGACTCATGGCAAGAAAGTATTATCGTCTAACACTGTGAACTTCCATTCAGCTAGTGCGGCACCAGGTGTAACAAGCTCAAACAGCTCAATGATACGAGCTGAAAAGTCTCAGCAAAGCCTCAATGACTCGAACATTGAACTGCTGGAAGACGCTGTCGGCTCGTTGAGAGGAGCAATGCAAAAGCAACGCAAACTTCAGTCGGATCTAAAGGAGAAGGAACGATCACTGACTATCACGACGAAAGAATTGCAAAGACGCAACCTGCAGTTTCTAATGTTGAGATCGTTCCTACAATGGAAATGTGCCAGCTCGAATCGAGTCCGTCGCAAAGGCCGGCAACATGTCGCTCCTACGCATGATGTGAACCGAGCTTGAATTCCGCACATGACATAGCTAGACAAATAAGCTACATGTAAACGTGACTACAGTCGACTACTTCAAAACGCGGAGTGCAATGAGTTGTACTGGTACATGAACTTTGAAGTACATGTACAGTAGTATTTGCGAAATATTATTTCGTTCTGGATCATGTAAGTGTAGCTGACTGCACTGCACTGCAGTCACTGCAGTAGCGTCGATGATAGCGTGGTTGAAGGCCATCAAGAATTCAAGTAGAAGCCACTTTCTAATCATCAGCGATCTCCATTCAAGAAAACTTTCCTTGATATCAAGTTGATACAGTACATGTAAAGGCACCGGGCCACTTATGTCTACAACGTGTGTGCTGTAGACTCTACAGTGTAGACAGCACATGTACGTTCAGTCAAGTTGGCTGTCAGCTGATTCAACATTGTTGAACATGTCAGCTGTCTTGAATTTCAGTACTTGAGCGAGCATAGCATGAACTTGCAGACATGGATGCGTTTTCCTGTCGACTTGCGAAAAGGACCAAGCACACCGTATTATAGTACAGTACGATTATAAAAGCACAAACACTTCTACTGTACATATGCTGTAAGATGCAACATCAGACCCGACGGACAAGCGAGAACAACAATCCACAAGCAATCTGCTCCAGGCTCAGTTTTCTAACGATGATACATGTTTTTCAATACTATTATAATACTGTAGTTAGAAATTGAAAAATCGATTCGAGCTCATCTCGTTTGATCAAGAACTATAGGTACACCCCGGATTTTCGCGCGGAAGTCCTCCCTGTCTGCAAGCTCATCCGAGGCTACGCACTCCCACTTAAACTACAATATTGATTGGTTGTCTACGAATAAAAAAAAATAAAACGTTAAAAAAAAATTATTGATCTAAAACCCGGTCATTTTGAGCAACATATGGTATAATGGACTGGAAGGTCTACGGAGGGCCCCTCTTGAGCTTATTAATAGCATCCTGTCAACGACGTAAGAGTCGGGTTTTATTAATAGCGCCATCCAGTGACCCATTACAGCTCGTTTTTTGTTGATCATGCCCTTTCTCTTTAACTTCAATGAACATTTCTATTGATTTAAAAACGTTATTTTTCGGTTAGTTTTTTTCTTGCTAAATCATTGGCCCCAGCGGCCATGTGCATAACGCGGCAAAGTTGAAGCTACAGTACCGAAATGCAAGTTGCATAATGCAACTCTCGGCTACTCTGCTTTTCCGCTTCAAGCGAGGCGCTTCCCCGGGAAGTTCCCGCTGTTGCCAACAGTGTTGGTCCATGCGTGTACGTGCGTATACACTGTACGACAAGAGCGGAGCGGAGGTATGCAAGACACTACAGTACCGGTATCACGCTTTTGCATGAGGATGTGGTCTGACTGTCAGTGTTAGCCCATCACTGTGGTGGGCTAACACTGAGCCTGCTTGGTGGGGTTTCCTGAGCTCATTTCCAAACTCACCACCAAGAGCACAAGAGACTCCAAGCAAACCATGCTCAAGAAGTGGCTTCTCCCAGTCTGCATTGCTGCTGTGGGACTCGTGGCTACCTCTGCCGACGACCTCGACGCTCGAGCCAACTCCATCGTCGAGAACTTCACTGAAAACCAAGTCGTTGGCCAACTGGCGCAGATCGCCGTCTTTTCTCTGCTAAACGAGGATTATTCCTTGAACGAAGACCTGGTGCGCTACTACGCCAAGCGCCATGTCGGGTCATTTTTGACCACACCGTTCACGAACGGCCCCAACGAACTCACCTTCGCCGTTGGCTGGAACGTTGCCGAGTGGCGTAATATCATCACCCGCATCCAAGAGATCGTCATGGAAGAGAACGATGGCATCCCGATGATCTTCGGCATTGACTCGGTCCACGGTGCTGGTTTCGTTTTGAACACTACTCTGTTCGGCGCTCAAATCAACGGCGCCGCCACCTTTAACCCGGACTTGGTCTACGAAATGGGTCGCGTCACTGGCCAGGACACGCAGGCTGCTGGAATCCCCTCGATATTTTGCCCTATTCTCGAGATCTCAAGCAACCCGTTGTGGGCACGCACCTACGAAACCTTTGGAGAAGATCCTCATCTCGTGTCGGTGATGGGAGATGCTGTCATTCGCGGTCTGCAGAGCAACAACCAGACTGCAGCATGCATGAAGCACTTTGTGGGCTACTCGAAAACCCCAACGGGCCACGACAAGGATGGCGTTGAGATCTCGGACTTCGATCTACTCAACTACTTTGTGAAACCTTTTAAGGCAGCTATTGACGCTGGCGTTATGACAACCATGGAAAACTACATCTCCATTAACGGCGTCCCCACTATTGGCAACCACAAGATCCTCCAGCAACTACTGCGTGAGGATCTCGCCTTAACGGACTTGCCGTCACAGACTTTGGCGAAATGGGATCGCTTAACTCGTACCACCGCGTTGCACGTACAGGGGACGAGGCTGTTCGCATGTCTTACGTGCACACGGGGATCGATATGAGCATGGGATTCAATGACGCGTATCTGAACAGTACCCTACTTCTGCTCGAGGAAAGCCCCGAGTACTTCAACCGACTCAAGGACTCTGCCAAGCGCATCATCAAGACCAAGCTGCAGTTGGGGCTATTTGACACCCCCATCCCAGGAGCAGACGACGTTGCCAAGGTTCGCAATGATGTTGATGTTGAAAAATCCTTGGAGATGGCTCGCGAGTCGATTGTGTTGCTCCAGAACAACGACAACACACTCCCCATCTCGAGCTCGTCTTCTGTGTTCTTGACTGGCCACTCTGCTCACAACATCGGCAACCAGTGTGGTGGCTGGAGCGTTAGATGGCCTGGTTACACTGGTAACGACCTTTTCCCGAACGGCATTTCGGTCAAGGAAGGCCTGGAGGCGATCGTTGGCGACAAGGTGACCTACTTCAATGGACTGGAGTTTGATGGGAACTACACGGCAGCTAACCTGACTACCGCTAAGCAACACGCCAGCAAGGCCGAGTACACAGTTGCTGTCATCGGTGAACTCCCGTACGCCGAGAAGACCGGAGATATTAACGATCTTGCTCTTCCTGCCGGTCAGATTGAGTACGTCAAGGAGCTTGCATCCACCGGCACCAAGGTCATTGTTGTCCTCTTTAAAGGCCGCCCCCGTCTGCTTGGCGACCTCTCGGAGAACGTCCACGCCGTGGTCCACGGTCTACTTGCGTGTGAACAAGGAGGCAAGGCCATGGCTGAGATCATTTACGGGCAAGTGAACCCCAGTGGTCGTATGCCGATCACCTACCCGAAGGATGCCGGTAACGTCATGACACCTTACAACCACCGCGTTTCAACTCAATGCGCTACTGCGAGATGCAGTGGGACTTTGGTACCGGTCTCAGCTACACCGAGTTCAGCTACTCTGATCTTACTCTCAGTAAGACCAACGTCACCTCCAGCTCCGACTCTATCGACGTGACTGTCACCGTCACGAACTCTGGCAGTATGGCTGGCAAGGAGACTGTGATGCTGTTCCTCACTCAGCCATATCGCTCAATTTCGGTGCCCGAGGTAAAGCAGTTGAAGAAGTTCTCAAAGATCAGCCTGGAACCTGCTCAGTCTCAGACTGTGAGCTTCACACTAACCGCAGATGACTGGAGCGTGTACTACCCGCAGATCGGCAGTGGCTTCAAGTTGGTAGCCGAGGACACAGACTACGTGATCGCGATAAAACCGGAGACAGACTGCGATGTGTACAACGAGACTGCTGCTGCGAACCCGTTGTGCGCGACATTTTCGCTGCAAACTGGTGACTACCCGTACGGTGTGCTCCTGCCGGATAAGAAGTAAAATTCTGGCATTGATAAAAATGTTGCGAATTCCTTAAAGTACAAAGCAATTGTCAGAAATTGTAAGCAGTTGAGCTGTTTTGCTTGCGAGGTATGAATCTGACTATTCTTACCTGTTAAATGCAGCTGTGAACTTCTCCAGTTTGGGTTGGTGTGCTTAAAGAAATTGTTGCGATGGTTCGATGAAAAAACATCACAATGATAGCCGCTTAGTGTCTTGTATCCTAAACTATCAATGCTGCACGGTGTCCGCAATAAAACGCAAGATCACGTTGATCGCATTCAATATAAAGTATTCCAGAAGCAATTTACAGGCGGTCTACTTGTAGCTCCGCGCGGTCAGCGTGTGACTGATCTTGACTATTGCTTCGACAGTTGCACCTCCACTATAATAGCGTTTCGACGTTTTTCTCCAGATATTGCTGCATGTTTGTTGGAATGGTGTACGTTAAGCCCTGAAGATCGTTGTGTATGTTCAAATCCTTACCAAGTCTTTCATGCGTCCAAACAGCTCCGATTCCAAGCAGTCGATCTGAAAGTAGAGTCGAGAGGAGATCATTATAGCAGTACCTATAATTCGACCATGGTGAACGTACCAGGTCATATATATATCGACACATCATCGGGTCTGGCTCCCTTGGATCTTTGAACGCAAGCACATTTCTAGTTTTAGTCTTCCGTCCACAGCTGCTTACTTCTGATCGAGAACTTGGACGCCGAGTTGAGTCCTCTTTAGAAGCAGTTTTTGACTGATACGGTTTTTTGGTGTCAATGTTATCAAAGCATTCTTCAAGGTTCGTAATGGCAACCTTGGCTCTGAGAGTGCTACTGAATGAATGTCTGTTTCACGCACGCGTGAGAATTTACGTCAGGAGAAATGTTTCCAGTTTCTGACCGAACAAGTTGCACAGAAGGATCCATCGGGCCGAATTCTTCGTCGTCATATGGGACTGGGTCCATCTTTTGGTCTTCAAGAACCACATTCGAAGATATTTCATCGATGCTGGGGCTTTTCGTAGCTCTTACTTCGTCTAGTTCGAAGGCATATTTTTCGTTGAAACCCTCTTGACGCATCCTCAGTGAACTCTACGAGCATCGGTGAATTGAGTATCATAATGGAAAGAGGCATTGTTAGGTTGGCAGCGTGCCTACCGAATACTTTGGGATAAGGTTTGTGTTGTTGACCTTCACGTCTGAATCTGACAGACGTAGAGCCTCCTGGCGACGCTCGAAGCCGTGGTAAGAACGGACAGCATCGGGATAGGTTCGATGAACGTAGTCGTGGATCCAGTGCAAAAACTCAAAATGTTCCTGAAAAATACCCTGGACAAGTTTTCGAGCGGGAATCTCCTATATAGTGACCACACGCTTCAATTAGAAGACTACAGTCTACGATATTACTCCGACACATCGATAGAACACACCTTTCGGATATCACATAGATGAAAGGTACGCCGAAGCACCTTGAAATTGTGCTCGTACTCTGTCTCGATTCGAGCTCGGAAATTGAGTCGCAGCAGATTTATTTTGCCTGGGTACAAGGCATCAAAGATCTGACAATACGCGATGCCATCTGCGAGATGTTCAATCTGCCAAGACAGTATCACAGTCGGACCAAGGTACGTATCAGTAAGAAAAGAGGTTTCGTAATCAAAATGATTCCTTGCCTTCGTATAGTCGGTCTGGAGGAACTCGTTGAGCCATGCAAGCAATTCCAAGCGGCCGATACCTCGCCACTTCAGCTTCCGCAGACTCATTTCATCGGCTTGACTCGTTAGTTCATGCCCTTGCTCATATTGTAACCACTAGCTATTTCTGTCCTACCATCTGAGTACTCAGCGGTCGTATCGAGCTGATATTTGATAAACAGCCAATCAAGTCGTGGATGCAATTATTTTATCAAATCCGAGTTATTAGGGTTGGGTGAAAAAGCTGCCGACGTTGTGCCGACATATAATGTCGGCAAAGGTACAAAATATGCGCTAGGATGTATAGAAACCATCAAATGTTTTAGCATCGTTTGGATATTCCCCTCTGACCGACAAAAAACTTCAAAACAGTATGAGCTTGCACCGGCCAACTCCCAGCGTGCGCAACAGACAGCTATCAATGCGTTCGCTCGCTTCCTCGTGGCCGAAGGCTTCAATATGCAGTATATCGCAGCCACTCTTCTAGGTGATATGACTGGGGCAAAGTTTGTCAAGCTGATGGATCGCTTCGCGATTTATCTTACAAGTGCAGAAGGGCGAGGAGGGAAGGCGCTAGCTCGCAACTCAGCTACTACCGGCACGTCAAAAACTGGTTACTCGACACCTACCCGAAAAAAAGAGCCTCAATCGAGAAGAAGCTTCTTAAGATGGCCCAGACTCTTGAACGGCACTGCCTGAAGCGCATCGAAGGTGGTACTACGAAAAGAGCGCCGGCGTGCACGAAGGAAGATCTACGTATTCTGATGGACGGTCTGTATTTTGATGCTGCGAGCTCTAAGGACTACCAAGAGGCTGCACTCCTTGCCTTGATGTGGTATGCGTTCGGCCGCGCTTCAGACTTAGGTTTCGTCGCAAGGAGCAACCTCACCGTAAGCGCTAGCGGAGTCGTCTTTGTGAGGCTGTTACGCGTGAAGACATCGGAAGAGCAAGGTATATCGATCTTCCCTGATCAAGTGATTTTCGTCACCTGCCCGCTACATGCGATCACCATGGTCCTGGTAATGCAAGATACACCAAGCTCACGTTTACTGGATCATCCCAAACTTGCTACCAGAGACGAAGAGAGAAGCGTTACCTCTATAGATATCCCTGTAGCAGAAGCACTAGCAGCCTGTGACGGAGACGACACAGAAACGGCCCCCGAGACTTCCAGCAAGCCACGCACGAAGAAGCGGAAAACTAATGATGATAACATGAAGATACACGCGTATGTCAATCGCATTGTCAAATCCGCGAGCGAAGCACAAGCAAGAGCAAATCCTACCCCAAACTTGACCTCGCATTCTTTCCGCCGCGGTAATGCCCAGCATGCAAGCGGCGATGCTACTCTAAGCGCCCAGTGGATTTTCGACCGTGATTTATGGAACGTGACGTCTACAAACAAGGCATTCGCGTATGTGTTCAATACCACAAGTGAGGATCAGAAGGTTGCGCGAGTTCTGAGCGGATGGGAAGCAAGTGTAAAGCCCCAGGTTCCAACGTTATCGTGGTTTGATTCCACAACACGGGCAAAAGCCCGTTGTATTGCCAATCTCCTCTTCCAGACGAGTATTTGCGCCGAAGATTCCAGTAAGCGGCTAAGTGATCGTGTCATCGAAGTACTCACGGCTTCTTTGATCCAGCATTATTTTCTGAGGTTCTAGAACGGTATCCGATGTGTTCATACGTGTCTAGAATGCGCATAATTCTCGTAGGACTTGGCATTGAGAAAGCACAAGTGTTGGCATGGAGCTCTGAGCTTCAGCGTAAAACGATAAAGAAAAGCGACGGCCCAGAAGGAAATGGCGGAAAAATGTTTTGCGTGAAGATGCGCTGATCAACCACAAAACTTGCGTCATTAGCGAGTTGGTAGCGATGAATCAAGCGTTGGCTAAACGGGTGACGGAGCTGGAGAAACAACAAGCTCAGAGCGGTGGAGTTATATCCGTGTCAATGCCCATATCTGAGCCCGGGACAGCGGGAGAAGCGGCGGGAACTACCTATTTCAACACTGTGACACCAGCAAGACCCAATCGCGTGGCTCTAAGTCCGCTTCTAAGTGGCCGACAGCAATATGGTTTGTGTGGTATACCAAGACGCCGCGGCTCTGGGATGTCTGCGAGAACCGGCAAAAAAATCAGCGTACAAGCAAATTGTGAGCTACATGAAGCTTTCCCTGCAAAATGGCTTTAAGCTATACCCGAATTGGGGCAACACTCGGAAGAGAACATGCTTAAGTTTTTCGTAGCGCATGGGGCTAAGCGCAAGAGTGGATCTTCCGTCCTGAAGCAATTGCGAAAATACTATCATGAAAGGTAAGTTGGATGCCCTGATAAAAGAATCTCGAGCTCGTGTTGCAATCGAAGCAATCCTCGATCCAGCTCCGTGTGAAACGCAAGACTTGTTTGTACGTACATAGATACCTATAACTAAATTAGTGGCCTGTTACCAAAACGTGGCCTGTTACTGAATAACTGGCCTGTCACTGAATAACTGGCCACATCTATTACATAATAAGTGGCTCACTACCAAATAAGTGGTCTAAATCCAAATAATGTTTACACTCACCTACCTACAACGCGTTCGTTTTGGATATACAGCAACTCAAAATATATATTTGTGAACTTAACACTGTTAAAGGCTGCTGAGCTGACTAGTTGTTCATACCGGTGAGATTGCTCAGCGATTGATGCATTTTAATGCGGAGCTTGTCCGATCTTCTAGTATTCAATCCAGACGTCAGTTTTTTTATCTCGCTTTGGATCGATTTGCTCTTGTTTTGGGTGATATACAGAGCGATCTTCTCCATGTAATACAACATGTAGACCCCACAATCGGAGTTTTTTTTTGCTGCGGGTGAGTCTCACAGACGGATGTCGTTGCAGAACCATCAGAGGCGACCCCACAGACTGTAGCCAAAATTTGCGCTGCAATGCCGAATACGTGGCTAGATACATGCAATCCCACGCAAGAGTCAACGTGAAACATGCGTCTTGATGGCTTTGCGGGCTCTTCAACAACAAGAAAGCTCCAATATTTATCGCCCCAAACCGAAATTAGAACTGCAAAATACAGATCCCAGTCAATCTTGTCAACCAGCTTCTTGACATCCTTGAAACTGCTTTCACCAACCGCTCTTCGCCTGCTTGATTTGACTGAAAAGCGATGCCCGATAAAGTTTCACAGCTCCTTCAGTAAATTATATGCCCTTGTAAATGGCATAGTCGATTACCACATCAGCAAGCCAGCCAAACGGTTTGAGCGTCATAATATCATCTTTGAAAACTTTTACAGAGCGTTCTCCTCCCAGCATCGATGTGTCAAGGTTGCGAACTGTAAAAGAAAAAAACTGCCCCTCTGCGTTTTGCGAGTAGAACACGCTGACGCCTAGAAGCTATCGGCTTAGAACCAGTAACAGTTTTGTACACTGCCCCGCATATTGAACTTCCGATTCTTCGCCATGGTCATCTGCCAATGGTCCGTCGTCATCTGATTCATCTGGCTCCGGATAGTCGTCGTAGTCGTCATCAGATTCATCGTCTTCTGCATCGCTATCATCTTCATCATCGTCATCACCCTCGTCGTCTTCCTTGTCCTCGACTTCGTCGTATTCGTCGTCATCAGATGTCGGGTCTTCTTCGTCATCGTGTTTAGTTTTACAATCAACACTTTCACCATCTAAATTGACTGTACCTTCGCCATTATCATTCACTGGAGGTGTACCGGTGGCGGTGTCCCCAACATCGTTATCTGCAGAGTCTGGAGGGGGCGGCAGAGTCGCCTCAAAATCTTCTATCGGTACACTAACGAGTGACTGTTTCGCACGTGTTCGTTGTACAATTGAGCTGTTCGGTTTGGCAGTGCTGACATTGGCCGTAGCGAGAGGGAATGGCATAGCGCTGTTCCGGTCAGTAATGTTGTTTAGCGGAAGGCGTCTCCCGTCGCTGATAACACCCGAGCTAACCAGCTCGTTGCTTTCATCAGATACGCAGGGCTATATTCCCCCCGAATTTAGCTCGTCGCTGGTATCTGAATGTGGCTTGACGTGCTCCGTAGTCTGGCTACCACAGGGAGTCTTCTGTTGACAAGGGGCCGCTGGCGACGGTTTGTAGCGCTTGATGAACCTCGTCACATACACCTTTTGAGCGCCTAAGTCCTTTAACAGGAACTCAGGGGTGGTGCTACAGTACGTAAAAAACATCGTGGTACGTTGCTTTGCCGTCTTCTCTCAGACAAGTATCGTAGTACTCCAACACCCTTGGTTCAAAAGCAGGAGGTTTCCGTTTATTTTTTCCCTCAACCTACCGCTCTCTTCCTCGCTCCATCGCCGAGTGTTAAATCATTTTTCTTGCGCGAGGGATCCGGATACTTCTTCTTCCACCTACTGAGAGCACCTCGGCTAACACCCAACTCGCGAGCGGCTCGTGCTGGATCTCATTCCGGACTAGCATCCCAGACAATAAGTTTCTCGAGCTTCTGCATTAGCGTCAGCGATGTGCACCGACGCGCTGTAACCCCCTCCGTTACACCTTGATCTGTTGTGGTTTCCATCAAGCCGCAGTTTTTAAACCTATTCACCCCCACCGCAGAAATCGTAGAGTAACTTGTGGGAGGTACCTTTTTGTCGGGTTTATACATACAGATCGTTTTGTGACAGACCATTAATAGGTAACAATCGTGATCGATTATTCTAAAACATGCCACTTATTTGGTAACGGGCCAGTTATTCAGTAACAGGCCAGTTATTTGGTAGCTCCCCTGTCCAGTTATTCAGTAACAACCAAACCATACAAATTTACAGACAAAGTATTAAAAACAAAGCACTTTGGAATTCGCCGCCAAACTATCACATTCAGCATGCTGTCTATTGAGTCCATCATCACTTATCGTGACTTCAAGACGCTTTGCATTACGTTTGCAAAAGCTGCCAAACTATGCGTTATGGACGCGTCCATCCGTGCTTTACGAAGCTCGATGATCCAGACAAGCGGTACTCGAGACCGTGTACCGGAAGCTCTCGGCGCAATCTTCTTCAGATTGACGGGAAAATGCAAGGCCAGGAGCAACAA